TTTAGCAATATCTTTTCTTGTATTTGCTAACCTTTGTGTGTAACTTAAGATTGTTTAGACAGGTTTCTTGTACCTTATCTTTCCGCAAACAATCTTGTAAAATCTGTATTGATTTTCTCTATCAATATATATTTTAAATTTGAAAAGTGTGTTTGTATTCATCCCCCCCTTCTACAAACTGTTTAATATTCTTGTAGACCCTTTGGGACCAACAGTACCACTTTTGAAACTGTACATGAATTGAACGTGTATAAATAGTAATTACAAAAGGTGATGGGGCAAAATTGAAAGCACAAATGAATTGCAAAGATGTGGATGGTCTTGCAATAAAAAATGGTTTACAGAATGTAGATAAACATATCTTGTACCAAACTTTCATGTCTAATTCATGTCCACCAATCATATGAATACACGTAGCCTGATAAAGAAATTAAACATAAATTAATTTGTTTCAAATAAACAAGAACCTAATAGAGTACTTTATAGAACTTAGGTTTATAGGAGAACCAAACTATAAAGTATCTTACCAAAAAACATTACAATAAGTTTATAAGATGTTAATAGGCATTTTAAGTTTTTAATAAGTTTTTTAGAACGCTTCTAAAATATAGTGTCCTATTAGCTATTTTACAGGACATCTTTAAGAAGTATCATATAAAGTCATTTTTTACAGGACAACAACGTTTATAACACATTTTTTTCAAATAATATCGTATAAAATAGTTAGCATGATACTTTATTTTAAAAGCGTTATAAAAAACCTGTTAAAATGTGTAAAAATGATATATAAACCTACTGTAACATTTTTAGATATGAACTTTTTGGGTTGTCCTATAAAATGAATTTTGTTGTGGTGTGAATTGGTTTGGAGGTTATTAGATGGACCTGTTACCAGGGTTTGAGACATCATAAATGATATTAGAGCAGTGACGCCTCGAGATCTAACTGATTGGATTCATGCATTTAATGTGAATATTGATTATAGCTCTGTACGGGTTGAGGTGTAGATTTACTCCCCGATCACCATGAAAGCGTATCTGAATCAACTGTTCGATATGTGTTCTCAATCACATCATTTATATTTTAACATCTGTTTCCACCGGTTTTATTCAAATTGGGAATATAATTCAATCTCGTCCCCATTTAAAGCCTCGTAATGTGAAAATGTACGAAAGTTGAATGCTACTCGTTTGCTTTCATATTACGGGTATAACTTTATCTCAGAATAGCAATCAAACGCTCACGTTTTAACCTAGGATTCTGTATTCATGAACTGCTTTTTTTAACTCGTTAAGTTCAGATACTTGTTCTTAGGCATTACTAATGAACGTTACCATGAAAAACATGAGTCACCGTGATGACGGCCGTTGCAAGTTTTGGTCCTATGAGAAAGACGATCCCATAGTCTTTGTTGTCGGAAAACACGTTCTTCTATTTAGTACGAAATAAACATTTTTCATTCGAAACTAATGAGTTGTTTACCAACACAAATTAGGTAATCACTGTCAATATCTTATATCGTGATTTATCTATACTATATTATAAAGTATTTGACAAAAACTTTTAAAAATTATTTCTTATGCATGAAATACTGTATATTGATGCATATTACTTAAAATTCAAGATTACAAGTAAATTATGCATAAGTACAACTTATTAAAGCTTCATATTTGAATTCGTGTAACTAACTGCAGATAAATATAATCAAATACATGATAAACATCTCATTTTAAAATCTCAAATATAATTAGGATAATTATCAAGTTTAGCAAAATAATTAATTATAATCTTTATAAGAAAAAAATTATGCATAAGTACAACTTATTAAAGCTCAATATTTGAATTCGAGTAAATAACTGCGGATAAACATAATCAAATAGAGGATAAACATCTCATTTTAAAATCTAAAATATAATTAGGATAATTATCAAGTTTTAACAAAATAATTAATTATTATCTTTATAAGAAAAAAATTATGCATAAGTACAACTTATTAAAATTTCATGTTTGAATTCGTGTAACTAACTGCAGATAAACATAATCAAATAGGGAATAAAAATCTCATTTTAAAATCTAAAAAATCTAAAATATAATTAGAATAATTATCAAATTCTAACAAAATAATTATCAAGTTTTAAATTAAATATAAATTATTTCGTTATTGAATCTAATTAAGTTATAATAAAAAAATTAAATTAAAAAAATTATACAAAAAATGTAACTTTTTAAATAGTTAATTTGATACTAATATCGAGATATTTTTGTAAAATTTTATGATATTTTCAAATTTATATTTTATTAAAAAAATAAAAACATTATCATTTTTTTAAAATCAAATAAAACCATATTATAAAATCGATCGAGATAAAAAATAAAATAAAATATTAAAATAAAAATATATCTCTCGTTATGTTTCTACGTTTCTCCTAGTATATTAAGATGAATTGAAAAAAGAATAAAGAAAAATCCGTCCGCCCCCAATTTACCGAAGTCAAAGCATACAGAAGAAGTCAACAAACAAAAAAAAGGTTTTTCCCTCTTCTCTCTCGTTCCTCCTTCCTGCCCCTGCCCCCCCAAACCGCCCCTCGCCGCAAGCTCCCGGCGACTGCGAGTGTACAACCAGCGCCCACCGCCCAGCTACTGTTCTGGCGCGGGGAGACTTTGCCTCCAGCAGCCTGTCACGCTCAGCGACAACCCTCCTCTGTTCTCCCGGCTAGGTATCTTAGATTTTTTTTTTTGCATTTACGAAGTTTCGTATTTGTTGTTTGATGATAGGTAGTTATTTATCTGTGTATTTTTAATTGTTTTTTTTGTTTGTTTATTGGAAAATGTAACAAGTTAGGGTTTGTTAATTTAGAAATTTTTATCTAAATTAGGGTTCATTGAAAATTGATCTGTTTATTGTTGAGTATATATGGTTAGGGTTTGGTAATTGGTAAATATTATTTGAATTAGAGTTTGTTGGAAATGGATTGTTTGGGTTTGTTCATTGGGAAAATTATAATTGAAGTCAGGTTTGTTAATTGAGGAAATGTTTTTTGTAAGTCAAGGTTTATTGAAAATCGATTTGTTATTGTTGATTATTAATTGTTAAGTTTTTTTTTGCTAATTGGTAGTTATTGATTTGATAGAAAAAAATGCAAAGCTTTCTGAAAAGGAAGGCATCCACATTCGGAATCGATAGTGGTGATATCGGTGGAGAATCTTCAAGTGCAAATGCCTATCATGATATTCCTCAATCTAGCTCTACTCAATTGGTATCAATGGAAGTTGATAATCTTTTGGTATCTATGGAAGTTCATTTGAATGATCTTCCTTGGGATCCATCCGAAAGAAAAAGAATTTCGGAGTATCACCCAAATCTAAGAGATGAAATAAGGCGAAAGTATTTGATTAGAGGACCTTGTCAACCACGTAACCATGATTTTCCCAGAAAAATGATAGGGAAGAACGCAAGACGTTTTTGTCCAACTTGGTATGATCGATATGGTAATTGGTTAGAGTATAGTGTGAAAGCGGATAAAGCCTTTTGCTTGTGTTGTTACTTATTTAGAGATCAATTTGGAAAACAAGGTGGGACTGACGCTTTTGTAACTGAAGGCTTTAATAGTTGGAATAAAACGGAAAGACTTGGTCTTCATGTGGGTAACTTTAATAGTTTCCACAATAGAGCACTTAAGAAATGTGAGGATCTAATGAGACCAGATCGATCTATTGTCGCTGTCTTTCATAGGCAAAGCAATATTGTGAACAATGAATATCGAGTGCGATTAAATGCTTCAGTTGATGCCGCTAGATATTTGTTGAATGATGACCTAGCAAACACTCTAAGAGATGGTCTAATGGTGGTTCCAAGTATTCAAAAGGATATTGTATGTTGCTTTGCACAAGAAGTACTAAAACCTGTTTTAGAAGAAATTGGTGATGATGTGTTTGCGTTATTAGTTGATGAATCTCATGACATATCTAGAAAGGAGCAAATGGTTGTTGTCTTGCGGTATGTTACATCAGGAATTGTTAAGGAAAGATTTGTTGGTCTTCTTCATGTTATGGGGACAAATGCTTTATCTCTTAAATCCGCGATTGAATCGTTATTTTTTGAATATGGATTGAGTTTGAAAAAGGTTAGAGGTCAAAGTTATGATGGAGTAATGAATGTGTGCGGTGAGTTCAATGGTTTGAAAGCTTTGATCTTGAGAGAAAATAGTGCAGCATATTATGTTCATTGTTTTGCTCACCAGCTTCAGTTGGTTGTTTTGGCAGTTGCAAAAACACATCTTGGTGTTGGAAACTTCTTTGATATGATGGATGTTGTGATGAATGTGGTTTGTTCTTCATGCAAACAAATAGATGATATTCGAGAAAGTCAAAAAGAGAAAGTGAATGAAGCCATGGGTAGTGGTGAAATTGAAGGTGGAAGTGGGTTAAATCAAGAGCGTTCTCTTGTAAGACTTGGAGATGCACGATTGGGTTCTTATTACAAAACACTTTTGTCTTTGGTTGATTTCTTTCCATCGATTGTTGACGTGCTTGAATATGTTGAGGAGGCAGGCGATAATACAATTAGTCAACGTCAAGCAAATGCTCTTCAAATATATTTCAAATCATTTGATTTTGTGTTTTACTTGCACTTGATGTTGCACATTTTGGAGGTCACAGATTTATTGTCACAAGCTCTTCAAAGAAAGGATGAAAATATCTTGAATGTTATTTCATTGGTGAAATCAACAAAGCAACAATTGCAAAAGCTCAGAGTTGATGGATTTTGTTCACTTTTGAAGAAGCTCTCTTCTTTTTGTGAAAAACATGATATTGAAATGTTGAACATGGAAGAAGCTTATGTTAATCCAAGACACCGTAGACAAAAGACCAATATCAGTAATGGGCATTATTATGAGTTTGATTGTTTTAATACAATTGTAGATATTCTAATTCAAGAGTTTGATGACAGATTTAATGAGGTAAGTTTTGAATTGCTCACTTGTATGGCAGCTTTGAATCCACATAATTCATTTTGTGCTTTTGACCCATCAAAGTTACTGAGGTTGACTGAGTTCTATAAGGATGATTTTAGTCGTCTGGAAATCATGACTTTTGAGCATGAGCTTAACCTCTACATTCACAATGTGCAACAAGATGGAAGATTTGCAAACCTGAAAGGTATATCCGAACTTGCTAGAATGATGGTGGAAACAAGGAAACATCTTTCATTTACTTTGATTTATCGATTATTGAAGCTAGCATTGGTCTTGCCTGTTGCAACTCCAACAATTGATAGATGCTTTTACTCAATGAAGCTCGTGAAATCAGATATGTGCAATCGAATTGGTGATGATTTTTTGAACGACTGTGGGATTTGTGCTGTACAAAAAGAACAACTTGCCAAGGTTACAGATGAAGATGTAATGGACCGCTATCAAAAGATGAAAATTCGTTGAGAACAGCTGTAGAACGTAAGTTGCTTCTCATTTTTGATGACATTGCAGTTTTCTATCTGACCGTCATTTTTGTTAAATACACTGACTTGTACGTATTACCTAGTTTAGCATATTAACTATAAATGAGAATCTAGTGTACTTCAACTAATACTTCAGTTATCATAATGATATATATAGAGAGACAGGTAGGTTCATACGAGAATGATACCTATTTAAGAAAATAAGAGAATGGCCAAATTACGTACAAAATCACATGTGATTTTACATTAACGGCAAAAAAAATGTGGGGGCGACCCTATGGCCGCGTGGCAAGGTCGCTTGAATCACATGTGATTTTGTACGTGATGTTAGTGTAAAATCACATGTGATTCAGTTATTCTCTTATTTTCATAAATAGGTACCATTCTCGTATGAACCCGACTATATATATATAGCATAATGTCATGCTGTGCTTCAACCAGAAGATTAAGGATCACCCTGCACATAACACTTGTTAAATGCTGGGCTGTTAAACAGAATCTGAAACTTAACACACACATACATACATACATATATATATATATATATGCAATACCCATCTGCTATTACACTGGTTTTGAAGATAAAAAAGCCTGTTAGAAACAAGAAATGAAAGGACAAATTAGCTAGAACAGATAAAGATTTGATCTTGATCCAGAATATGCGATTTCTGAAGTAGATTTGTTCCATTTCTTTATGGTCTGCCATTTTGATCAAGAGCTCCAACTATAGAAGTTTTTTGCGCTATCTTCTTGTCTGGTTCATACTGAATCATGGGTTCTTTAGTGATATCCAAGAAATGCAGAACTATGACCATAGCTACAGAACCAATAAACATAGGAATCGGGCCAAAAATCCATAGGAGCAAAGTGGTTGCAAAGTAGAGTGCACGCAATCCGACTGCCCAGAAATTGCTTCCTCTTATCACTGCTTTTTGGATGCATTTAACAGGAACATCGCCCGTAGGCATACATATGAGGAAACTAGCATGAATAAAGTGCCTTGTGGTTTGTACAAAACAAGAAAATGCCAATAGGAAACACGATAGAATGGCTACGTATTTGACGGAGTTTGTGGATTTACTCGTATCCCCTAAGATCATACTGCTTGTAATGAAGTTATTGGATGAGTTTCCGAGTAGAGCTCCAATAAGAGAACATAGAACTAAAGAGATTGAAGATAGGGAAGTCGAGGCTGATAATTGACCGTTAAGAACAGCTACTGCAAACCCTCTATCTTTTTGTTCAACCTGCATCAATTCAAGAAAAAACCAAGGATCTACAATGAATAAGAGATGTATTCACTATGAATAAGAGACGTATTCACTATGAGTAAGAGATGTATTCACTATAAACAAGAAGTTATACCTGAAGAATTTTTTGAACCCAGCCCTTTTTGTTATTATTCTCGTAGACGAGCGCTGTATCTTTACAATCATTGAGGTATTTGTGGAGAAGGTAGAGATGATAGACGAACATTATCAATAACCCAAATGGCACCAGGATTAAATCCAAGTGTTCTTCCTTCCAAATCCACCCCATCTGATTTCTTTTAACTGTTTTTTGTTTGTGAATGGAGGTAGCATATAATCTATTGGGGGAAATGGGTTTGACTTTGTGATTGAAATTTGTTTTCAAGAAATTGGTTGTTGGCTATTCACATGGCATCATATACACAACTTGCAAATGTTTATTCATTGCTTCACTTATTAAAATGCATAGCAGTTTTGTTCAAGATCTTATCTTTCTGWTTGCTAATTTGAAGACTTGGATCTCCCCCAACAAGATTGAAGGTTGATTGGCRSWACAGGTTAAGGTTAGGGTATATAGATTAGGTTTTTGAAAGGAGACCCACTGGACTTGAAATCTTGAATGCTGTGCATAGAAAGCTGGCATTTTTATTTTAAAGGACAGAGAACCTTCCTAAAATTTAGTTAAATTATTAATTTGGGTAACTTGGGTATTCGAGTCAKTTTAAGCRCACCRACTCATCACAGGTGAACCTGCATGGCTACAAGGGCTTTGATAGTGCCTTGATTTGAATCCAAAGAAGATAAGAATTCCACTACATCCCCTGAGCTTTAACTAGTATGTCATAGGCAAAAACTTGGGTTGTGGCACACTGGTTAAGTCTCATGGGATGTAGTGGAAATTTTCATCTACACTAAGTTTGAATCCAGACTCAGCCAAAGCCCTTGTGATCATGGAGATTCACCTGTGACGATTCTAGACCATTCATGGTCATTGAAGGATTAGTCGGTGCGCATAAGCTGGCCCGAAAACCAACGATTAACCAACAAAAGAGTTCAAATAGTATATGTACAGAAGATTTGTAACAAAACTTTTTAAGATATGATTATTTAATGTAACAGAAAGAAGCAACTAAATTCCATTCAATGTATGCAAGGAAACTTTATAGATAAAAAAAATGATATTTGATGTTATTATTATTTTATTATGTTATTGTCCAAATTATTGGTATTTAATTTTTTACCCTGTAAATGTTTACCGGGTAAGAGTTTTCTGAACCTCGATTGTCATGCCTTTCACTGGGCAAGATTCACGGCATTTGTCATGCTCGCATCTGGACTCACGGTTTTAAAATGCATCTGATAAAGGAGATCTCTTATAAGGCAATTTTTCTTACTTGTCCCAACCAATGTGGGATCTTACGATCCTCATGTTCTTGAGTGAGAGAGAAAGGAGAGGAAATATAACATTTTTACAAATATACTCTTATTTATATTAGAGTAAATTATGGATTTGGTCCCTTTGGTTTGGTGGTTTATACGAAATGGTCCTTGAACTTCATTTATTTAGGACTCGTCGTATGTCATTTTGTAACGAATTGGTCCCTCTCTCTAGCAACCATCAAGTTCTTCCGTTAACCTTGAGCGCATTTATTTAGGACTCGTCGTATGTCATTTTATAGGATATATATATATATATATATATATATATATATATCCCATAGATTAATTAGTATTAAATATTTGGACAGTGGTTATCCAATGAAATTAATAATAAAGGAATCAAATCTAAGAAATTTGAAAAGGAGTAATACTGGTCTAATGACAACTCAACCAAAAGCCAACTTGTCAACTACACTTTAATGCTAACAAGATTTCACTGACTTTTCAAGGAAAGAGAATGAGAACAAAATAAGATAAAAAAACCAGAAAACGTTATGTAATCTCATAGCGACCACCTGTTTTGTAAATAGTCAGGAGTCATCATATTTGAACCTTTGTGGCCATAAAAGAATTTTTATTCCTTTTTGGATTTGAACCTGAGACCTCCTTAACGGGTACGCAACGGGGAGGGGAGTGTGAGACACATCCCTGTCTCCTTCCCCGGTTTGAGACAAACGGGGATCCTCGTCCCATCCCCGTTTTAGCAGGGAATCCGCATCTTCGATAGGGGCGGGTGGTCTGGGTTCTCCAATGGATCAGGGGCCATTCTCATGCCTACTTATGGTAACATTTCAATAAGTTTCGGGATTCTTCTTTGACCACTTTGTTCCAATTATTATTTATGCCCTTCATTCTTGTTAATTATTAGTCATTGACTAATATTAATTTTTGATAATAATTTAACATTAATTATTTAATATTTTAAATTATCATCAATCATGTTTATTATTTTTATACTATTATTTATTTGTTCAAAGCTATATTTCTTTTATCATATAAATATTAAATTTTAGAAAAATGTTTAATAAACTATTTAATTAAAAGAAATTATTTATTAATTATTTATTAATTAATTAAATTATACATAGTTAGACAAACTTTTTTTATTCATATTATATGTAATACTGTTTATTCAAATTAATGATTTGGATTTGAATTAAAGGTAAAAAGATATTAAAAGCTTTAACCACAAGTGTGGTGCCTGATTGGTTTGAGCCAAGCTCAAAAGTACCAGGAGGTCCCAGTTTCAAATCCAAGGAGGAATAAAAATCTTCTTATGGCCACGAAGGTTCAAATGCGGTGACTCCGGACTATCTGCAAAGAGGTGGTCGTCCTAGGATTAGTCGGCTCGCATAACGAATTGGATATCTAGGTTAATAAAAAAAAAAATATTAAAAGCTTTACCATCAAAGATTTTCTTAAGATAAGCAAAACATAACAAATGAACCAGTAACTAATAATTTAGATAAAAATAATATCAAATAAATCTGGTTCAGACACAAAATACCACCCTCCATTTCAAATTTCCATGTTAGGGTTGTTCATCCAACGCTTATCCGGTAAGCGCTTACCCTATGAATTCCAAGATACTCTCTTTAATTAAGAATGAAGGTTTGGTTGCAATATCGAGGTACTGATGGCACAATGGGCACTAATGTCATTATTGCTCAGTGATAATAGTAGAATCAATGGTCTCAGGAACAAATCAAGTGGAGACGAAGTGGGGACTGAGACAGTTCGGTTCATATGCGGTGTGGGCATTAGAGCATTAAGGGACCTTTACCTAATACAAGAGGACGGGGGTAAGCGCTTATCGGTAATTGTAAACATTTGCATTTAACTTATCAGGTAAAACTTTCTTCTACTGAAACATCATCGTATATAACATGTTTATTCGTAAGCACTTACTGGGTAAGAGTCGTAACTATTACTTATCGGGTACAACTATCGGTTCTTGCTATAACTGGAATGAGCATGTTCGGGAAGAAAAGAAAAAAACTGTCTTTTTACATAAAGCCTCTTCTTTGAATGTTTACTAGAATAAGCCATTTTCTATATTATTAAGCTATTATCAAACAGTCATGTATATCTAATTGAATAAGCCGTAACCGTAAGTCCTATTAAGCTCATTCAGCTACTACTAACAAAGTAAACGGTTCTCTTGAAATAATTAAACCAAACAAATCGAGTAAATCAAATGTTATTATAAACATAACTCCAATACCATGATCAGAATCAAGAAAAGAGACCAAAAATCATCAAGAACACTTCCAAGATTCGATCTTTCATCCCCAATACTCCATGAATCCATTTCTCTATTGCCTTCCAATTCCATCGTGTTCAAAAACCCCAACTACAGAAGTTATTTCCTGCTCAATCTTCTGCAAAAAATGGCCACCATTCTTGTTTCCCCCATACCTTATCATCGGATCCTTGTTGATATCCAGAAAATACAAAATCATCACCGCAGCAATCGAACCAACCACCATCGGAATCGGCCCGAAGATCCACAACAACAAAGTGGTCGCAAAGTAAAGTGCTCGTAATCCAAGTGCCCAGAAATTGCTCCCTCTTATCACTGCTTTTTGAATGCAATCAAGAGGGACATCACCAGTTGGCATACTGATGAGAAAGCAAGCATGAACAAAATGCCTTGTGGTTTGCACAAAACAAGCAAAAGCCAGAAGAAAACACGACAAAATGGCGATGTATTTGATGGAATTTGTGGATTTGCTTGTGTCCCCTAATATGAAACTGCTTGTAAGCAAGGTGCTCGATGAATTGCCAAGTAAAGCTCCAATTAGGGAACATAGAACTAAAGAGATTGAACAGAGGGAGGTTGAGGCTGATAAATGGCTGTTCAGAACAGATATACCAAACCCTCTATCTTTCGCATCAAACTGCAACAACAAAAACCCAAATCGATTTCAACAAAATTCCTAAAGAAACTGGAAAAATTAAGTATATATACATATATATATATATATATATGTATGTATACCTGAAGCATTTTCTTGACCCAAGCGTTTTTGTTGTGATTTTCGTAGCCGATTGCAGTGGTTTCAGGATGTTTGAGGTATCTGTAGAGAAGGAAGAGATGATAGAGGCACATGATGAAGAACCCAAATGGAACCAAGATCAAATCCAAGTATTCTTCCTTCCAAGTCCAACCCATTTCAGTTTCTTGATTTCTTGATTTCTGAAGTGGGTTAATGGTGTTGTTGGGAGGGGGGAAGGGGTTGAATGTATGATGGTTATGGTCTTAATAGAGGGTCTGAATGAGGTAAATGAAAGTGGGCATGACTGATTGATTTGTTTTGTCAAGGAGAGTTGGTGGGAAAGTGTTGGGTGGATAACGACGGTCATATTCCACAACTTGGAAATGTTTATTCTTTTTTTAGCGGCCAACCTCATCTATTGATCTTAATTATAAAACCCTAAAAGAGACGGCTTCCACTACTTTTGGAGCTTGGTTGTTTATTATTGAAAGTTAACATTTTCACTTTTAAGGTAAAGTTTTTGTTCATTAAAACGGTATCGTATACAACGTTTTTATCTGGTAAATGTTTATCAGATAAAAGTCGTCACTCTTACTTATCGGATAAGACTTTCGGTCTTTGTCATCGCTCTTAGTTTTTTTGGTTAATTTCGATGGTTTCTTAATTGGTGGGGGCACAGACGGGAAACTACTGGGGGTAAGGGAAACTATCATAGAAAGTTAAGGAAAATTTTGTTTTTAACCTTTGTAAAGTTTTTGTTTTTTTCTAACGAGGGCCCATCGCCCCCCTTCCTCTTTTTTCCTACTTACCTTGGCCCTGTCCTTATGCATCGTTTCGGTCTAGCCTACGTTGAAGCGGCGTGCTGAAGTCTCAAATCGAATAAACACAACCAATATCTCTTATACTTGTATATCGGAACCCCTCCATTCCAAACCCTTTTTCTATAAGGAAAAGAAATGCGAAGAAGAGGAAAACGGATTAAAACTATATGTTTTTTTCCTTTTAACTTCTTAGGAAGGAAGGAAAAGAAACAGGGGGAAATATCATTTGTATTTCCTTCCATAACTTTCCTCCGAAGATCTGAGAAGAATAAAGAGAATAAAATCTTAAAACTTTCTTCCATACATGACTTAATGGAAAACTAATAAAACAATCCCTTACACATAATATATATATATATATATATATAGGTGGAGGTTCAAACGAGAACATTTCCGTTTTACTAGAACACGAGAGCACGAGGGGACCCTGCGATGTGCGGACGACGTGTTTTACGACTTAAGTCGCGTCAAAGGTTGTCTGTGTCTATGATTTAACATCACATGTGATAGTCTTGATGGATTATAGTATCATATCAACAATACTCTTATCACATGTGATAATACTTGTGAGGAGGCTTAGTGGTGTAAGGGCGACTTGGCCCACAACCAAGATCGCATCCAAAATCGATCGCGTCTCTGATTTAGTATCACATGTGATTGTCTATAGTAAAAGGATGTTCTTGTGTTCTCATAAAATGAAGGTGTTCTCGTTTAAACTCTTCCCCATATATATATATATATATATATATATATATATATATATATAAAGTTTGTTTCAAATACAACACATCGCATTTGTACAACTAATGCAACCCAATAAATTGTGATATTTATGAAAATGATGAGAGTTCATTTATTATGATTTGAATATTTATAGAAGATGAATATGGTTCATTAATTATGATCAATATTTTATATTATGAAACAATCAAAACTTCTATGAAATAGACGGTTGAGATTGGATTGTATTGGTTGCATAAATGTCAAAGGTTGTATAATAATAACCAACCCCTATATAAATAGGTATCACAATATATCACATTGTGTATCTTTGTTTTTAAGGTTTGAGTTGGTATCATAGTTGGTATCACAATATATCACAATGATTATCACATTGTGTATCTTTGTTTTTAAGGTTTGAGTTGGTATCATAGTTGGTATCACAATGATATCACAGTATATCACAATTGGTATCACATTGTGTATCTTTATGATTACTTGGTACCTGCCGGATTAATGTTCACCGAAGGCCAAAGATTGGAGGTCGGAGATATGAGAGAGGAGAGAGGAGTTTTTAAAAATACTTAAAATGCCCTCTAATTATAATTTTAATTTAAACTACCATAATTATTAATTTCCTAATTTATCCGTTGATTTGTTGTTGAGATTGGATCTCACAGTTACCACAAACTAATCAGTTCTCATTTGAGAGAGAGAGAGAGAGAGGAGCGATCAAATGAAAATCACTCTCATTTGTAAAAACCGTACAAACCATCCTCATACGTCGATTTCATTGTTTAATCTTATGAAATTTTTTCATGAAATTGTTTAATCTTGTGAAATTGTTTTATATAATATTTTTTTTGATGAATTTGTTTCATATAATATTTAATGTAATTTTAATAAAATTTGTTTCATGTATTTCTCTAAAATTAAAATAATGAAGATGATAATATCCATGATTAATACCCTCTACAATAAAAATGGTTAATCAATCTCTCATAATTACAAAAAAATGAACAAAATGAAAAATTATTATTGGTTAAATGAAGTTTTCACGGTTTTACAAATTGAGTGGTTTTTATTTGAACGCTCCCATATATATATATATATATATATATATATATAGAGAGAGAGAGAGAGAGAAAGGTTGGTTATTATACAACATTTTTCATTTGTACAACCAATACAACTCAATCTCAACCGTCCATTTAATTTGATGAATATGTGATTTTATAGAAGTTTTGATTGTTTCTTAATATAAATTATTGATCATAATTAATGAACCATATTCATCTTCCATAAATATTCAAATCATAATAAATAAATTCTCATCATTTCTAAAAATATCTCAATTAATTGAATTATATTGGTTGTACAAATAGATATGGTTATATTTGAAATATACCATATATATATATATATATATATATAGGGTATATTTCTTTTACAACCTTGTGCATTTGTACAACCTTTGCAACCCAATTAATTGAGATATTTATAGAAATGATTGGAGTTCATTTATTATGATTTGAATATTTATGGAATATGAATAGAGTTTATTAATTATGATTAATATTTTATATTAGGAAACAATTAATTGATTAAAAATTAAATGGTTGAGATGAGAGTTGTATAGGGTATAGGAATGGCAAAGGGTGTAGAATAACATCCCTATATATATATATATATATATATATATATATATATATATATATATATATATAAAATTGGATGCATCCAAGTTGTTTTATAAGATGGCAGCCTCCCGAGGATTGATGGGTTTAGTATACTTTTGTTTAATGAGTGCAAGTCATCCATCAATTAATGAAGTGGGTGTGCTGCCTATCATTATCATTATCATTATTCAATACCCGTCAACTTACTTTTATGGAAAACATTTTATATACACATTTCGGATATAAGATTTTATTGTGAAATAATATTTAAAAACAATTAATCAAATGGTCTTTGTCCTAGTGTTATCATAGTTTCTATCCTCCTAGAATGTTAGGGGTTCAAACTTCATCAAAGATGAAAAAGATGTGTGAGTTTATTTGTTGCATTTATCGTATATAAATATTACATACTTCAAAAAAAATATTAAAAAATAATTGAGAAAAAGAGTGTTGTTTATATGTGATTTATGTATAAGCATGCACAATCTTTACTTAAATAATGTAATAACTTCCCCATATTAGAAAATAAAATTTGTAAGCTCCTTATAAGTCTCAAATTGTGGGGTACCAATAACTTCCACCATGATTTTAACATGAATTTTACGATAAAAATTTATGTTAAATTCAACCTTCAACATTAAAAAAAGTATTTGAGTTTGAATACTGATTTAAAAAATTATTCGAGCTCGAGCCACAGTAATAACTGATACTAATTTCCTATAAATCAATATGGAACAAAGTGGTAGTTTCATGAATCTAATAATTGAAAGTATTAGTATGGCATAGCAGAAAAGGGGTTACAATTGTCAGAGTTGCACATGTGAAATTTTGCAGCTCCAAAGTATTATTGTGTTCTAAAAATCCGAAGCATTTGAAAAGTAAAGAAATGATCAATAATCCTTCATCTGGTTAAGATTTATGGTTTTGATCGTAAAGCATCGAATAATTTCTCGCATGATATGTGGAAGATAAAATGGTAGCTTTATAACTTTTAAAATAAACGGTAAAACAAGTGCATATGTGAACCCATGTGCTTCACATATGAATTATATGTTCATGTGAACCTCTGTAATTCACATGTGAATCATTTAACTAATTCACATATGCATTTGTTTGTCATCTATTTGTAAAAGTTACGAAACTACTCCTTTATTATTATATATGCATGTGTGTGCTCGCTAGACCATATAGGTTGCGATTATATGTTAAAAACCACAACAGTTTGAAGATAAACCTATACTATAAGATTTTCCTAGCTGGTAATAAATGTTGGGTCTTGAAACACTTTTCCGTAAGTCGTCACAATAAACCTCTCCTTGTGATCGGAATGAGGTAGATGCCTCTCAACCGAAGGACGGATCGAATCAGGGTTTCCTTAGATAGCCACAGGTCATGGGGATTTTCTTTGCTGTTACATTTACAACCCGTAGGTTTTATCAAGGTATACGTAAACTAGTCCAGATAACCCATAAACAATAAATAATTAAAATTGTATCATTTTCATGTAAATAATTTAAAATTGTCCCATGGAGAAATAAAAGTTCACATAACTCAAATTGCAAGGTAACATTTAGGCCCAAATCCAAATTCAAATAGTTAGGCCCAACCCGAATTTTACCTATAACAAAACTATCGTCACAATTTCTCTATTTTTTTTTATTAACTTGGATATTCAACCCGCTATACGAACCGACTAATCTCAGGACGACCACCTACTTTGCAGATAGCCCATAGTCAACGCATTTGAACTTCCATGCCCCCAAGGGAATTTTTATTCCTCATTGGATTTGAACTTGAGACTCCAGCTACAATTTCTCTATTTTTATCAAGTAACGTTCTAGCAACTTATGATAGGTGGTGTTAATTCAAAATAATACGATACAAAATTGTGAGACTGAAGTAATGGCAATATAATTTCGTCTTAACTTGGCTCATAAGTTATGACGATGTTGATTGTCGACAGGGGCGGATGGCTTAAGGGGCTTAGGGGGTCATGGCATAAAGTAACACGTGTTAATGCATGGGTTAAGAGGCCATGATGCACTAACGCGTTGCAGATAAAAATACAAGAAATATATAATCGAACTCGATGACATGATACTGTAATCAGTTTTTGATAAAACGGTAAACATAGTATACTCGTTTCTTGTTATTCGATTCAGAATCAAGATGGCATCATGTTGCATTTACCTTATATACTTTTAGTGTGTGTGTGTGTGTGTGTATTTTCTATGTTTCGTGATTCTTTTATTCTCCGCCACTCTCGGTCTTTATTTTGTGCTTTTGTATGGTTTTGAAAGTTTTTGTCAAATGCTTTATAATACAGTAAAAATAAGAATGATTTTTTTCAGTTAGCCCTTCTTCAGTCAGTACCTCTTTTCTTTCTTCCACTATCATTTAATTTAAATATGCACCCGTATATTTACATAACCATTCTCTACAGTTATGTATTAGCCCCTATCTTTACATATGTCAAAATTTGATTGGAGAAGCAGGATTTTGTAATATTGGATTTTTATTAGTAAAAGTATGGGAAGTTGACCAAAATATTCAATATTCTCAACCAAATTCACTTTTTAACCATTTTTAGCATCAAATTTCTGTATTATCTAATGTTTGTGCATTTTCGTAAAGCCTTATTTTATATTTTTTTTTAAAAATGTGTTAGCAAATGGGGATGTTTAGGCAAATTACGTAAAGTCGATTTTCAGATTTAAAAAAGAAAAGAAATTCGATATACAAAAATAACTAAAAAATGAATTTGATTGATAAGATCGACTATTTTAATAGATATCTATATACTATATTATAAATCATTTGACAAAAACTCTTAAAAACCATTTTTATGCATGAAATTCTGTTTATTGATGCACGTTACTACAAATTCAAGATTACAAGCAAAATGTATGTAAGTACAACTTATTAAAACCTCATTTTTGAATTTGTGTAACTAACTGCAGATAAACATAATCAAACATAGAATAAACATCTCATTTTGAATATAAAATGTCTAAAATATAATAAGAATAATCATTGAGTTCTAATGAAATACTTAATTACTATTTTTATAAAAAAATATTATATTAAACTAAAAATAAATTATATCGTTATTAATCATAAATTAAATTATAATAAAAAAACATCGAATTAAAGAAGTCATACAAAAGAACGATAACTTTTAAATAGTTAATTTGATATTAATATTGATATATATTATATTCAAAATTTTATAATATTTTATATTTTATTCAAAAACAAAAATATTATCGTTTTATCAAAACCACATAAAACCGTATTATAACATTGACAAAAACAAATAATACATTAAAATCAAAATATATCTCGCTACATTACATGAGTACGTTTATGATGCTTAAAACAGGATAAGATGTGCATGTGTGTTTGAATGGTGGGGTAGTGGTTTTGTGGACTTGTTTCCCTTTTCATGCAAGCTTTTGCCATGGTTGAGGTTGAGGTTGAGGTTGGGTTGGATGGAAAAGCAAAACCTTTTATCCAAAATGATGCTACCAAGATATGACCATGCAAATGTCCCCCTCCACTTTTGCTTTTTATCACCCACCACCTTTCTCCTTTTTCTAAGTGTGTGCATTTTTCTCATTGTTTTCTGTACCTACCTCTTTATGTCGTCTCATTTCTTTACGTGGAACTTCATCTGGTTATTCGTTAAAAGAACAGATGACAAATAGATTGTATCTATCCAATGCGAGACTTCGACAGAGCCTAGACGAAGATGGTGCTTCAAGGTGTCGATCCCTTTTCTGAAGAAGACGTCGACTCTAATACCATGTACGAGTGTGTGAGACCTCATCAACAGGTATGGAATAGAAAGGGACTGTATCTGGCCAATGTAAGACTTTTAACAGTCAAAAACGTGTGAAGTCCATGTGAGAATAGACAATTCGTGTTGGACCTCAAGAGCCATCATTGTATGTACCTAAAGAATGAGACTATACCCTATAAAAGTTAAATGCTTGTTACAATCAATCGTTATCGTGTCTTGGTGGGTAGTCGTGTTTCTAATCATACCCTATAAAGTTAAATGCTTGTTACGATCGGCCACTGTTACGTTGGTGACTGGTCGCATGCTTCTAAGCAAACCCAAAAGGATCAATCATTTCGTCAGTTTATTGAAATCTCACCTCAGCTAGACTTTAATATTTTCTCCTCAATACATACTGAAACCTAATTCTCAGCTCAATGACTCTCTGGAAAAAGTAAGCTACACCATCAATTTCGAAGAAAACCAGTATCAAGAATAATCAATTTCCTAGCCTAAAGATTACTTTCTCATGGAAACCGAAACATCACATGTTTGTACAATGGGATTACCATTTGCATCATATGGTACAACCCCATAATGCAACAGGGTATCGCTAAACGTGCAACTATTTACTTCAAAATCAATTCAAATCATACATTGAAAATGTAAAACAAAGATTCCGAGATGACTAATGTCGATGTGTCTGATGATGACATCAACAAGTAGGTGTCGTTTAACATATTATAGGTGTGCATTTAGTCTACCCCCAATACAGCTTCCCATAATCCATACAGATTATTATACTAAAAAAGTGTATTATGAGTCTAAATTCCTAAAAAAATGTACAACATGCTCACCCCACTTGTACAAGTCTTTTGTTCTTTTCTGGTTTTGACTTCAATCATAATAATACTAAAATAGCTTAAAACCCTACACCAGCCGCGCCGACGCCAAATGAGGCGCGCCGCAGCGGCTCCAGCTTCCGGTTTTTCCAAAAGCAACTATCTGGGGCTAGCTTAGCCGCGGCTGTTCTCATTGGCTCAGACTTGCACCGAGTCAGCACAAACGGCTCATAGCCCACCGCGTTCACTAGCTTCTGCTCCAGCATCTCCGCCATGGACGGCGGTGCCGGTAATGAACACGACGACCGGCCAGGCTGGACTGCCGCTGCAGCCGCATCCTCAGCCGTGACATGATTTTGATATTTAGTAGTACTTGCAAGACCTTTAGTGGTGGTGGTAGAACTGACCTTTGACTCATTTTGACCGTTGGTTGGTTTGATCGGCGGTTGCAGTTGCGGTGGTGCTGGAGGCTTTTTGCGACTTGAATGCCGCCGGACGAAGTCCTTACTGGATACCCATGTCTCCTTTGAAACCTCCATTGACAACTTGGGCTCACACATCATCAACAATAAACATTCCGGCAACCCTTCTCTCTCTAAAACTCCGGCCTCTCTCTCCTTTGACTCGTCAACCGTTTCAGATCTATCTCCAAATTGGGTTACCTCTTCCTCAAAACCTTTGACTTTTTCAATCTTTGATTCCATTTCAGTTTCTTGAATTTCTTCTTCAAATAGTTCTTCCTTAGCATCCTCCATTTCATCACTTTCTTGATCTTGATCCACAAGTTCATCAAATAATGACCCAAAAAATGTAATTTCTTGATCTTCTTCGTGGGTTTCTTGATATTCGTTGTGGGTTTCTTGATCTTCTTCTTGAAGACTTCGTTTCAAGATTGTTTCTTGATTAGCTTCATGTTCTTGATCAAAAGCTTCTGTTTTTAGTGGGATGTGATATTCATCTTCATCTTCTTCTTCTTCATAATCGTCAATTGTTGGTTCCCATAATCGATTTGCAAGAGCTTCCATTTTTAATGGATCAGATCTACATCTCATCAACAACAAAGCATTCTTTGGTGGAATGCAAATACTCAATCTTGCTTCATCTTTATAACACCCTTCAATTCGATCATTTACGATCTCTAAATCATCAAAAACATGTCTTCTTGAAGTCCTAATGCTTCTAATCTCATCATCACCTTCATCATCATCGTCTCCTCCGACCACCAGTTCAATCTCTCTCCGACCACCTCTACCACCACCATCATCTCCGTCCTGAAACGCCACCAACCACCGTGTAAACACCGCAGCGCAAGACCCAGAACCAGAACCTTGCCGCTGATCCGTTTTCTCTTCTTTCTCCCTCTCCGTCGCCGGAGAAAAACAAGAAGACCGGCAAGGAAACAAACAGCTGAACTCAGACCCCAATGCTCTTAAAGCTTCACAAATCGTTAATGGCAGATGAACCCATCTCGGGTTATGGAGCTTTTCCGGCAAGTTTTCTTGATTACTACCGAAACTATTACAACCCTGTTGAAAATTTGATCCAAGATTCTGACTTTTACTGAACCCATCACGGGAATGGTGATTATGATCGAGTTTTCTGAAACTAACATCGCCGGTGCTGTGTCTTCTTGATAAAGTTCTCAATCTTTTGCCTTGTTTCTTCTTGCTTTTCACCCTAACTTGACCAATGCAAGTGACTTTAGGGGAAGAGGGTTCTGGGTTTTCGAAACCGCCGCCTTTTTTCTTGCCGGAGGTGGGAAACATGGCCGGAGATGCACCGCCTTTGATGCTGCGGCTGGTTCTGAGTCTCCGGCTGAGGGAGGTGGATAAGGAGATCGGTGGGTCACGGCTGGTGTGTCTACCAGGACTCAAGATTGATTTGGATGAGATCTTCATGGAGGAGGTGGAGGAGGAGGAGGAATGGTGGTGGCGAGAGGTGAAGCAGATGAAGAGGTCGCTGGTGGTGGTGGTGGTGGAAGAAGTGGAGGTGGTCCGATGTGGTGGTGGCCTGTCGGAGTCCATTGATTGCTTATTTAGTAGTCATATAATTGTTCTCCGGTGGTGGTGGTGGTGGTGGTGGTGGTGGTGGTAAAAGCTGCTGTGGCTTTTTTTGGTGTATGAATTGTGGGATGCAAAGAGCAGAGGTGAAAATGGTGGGCATTAAATGGAGGGTGACGAATTGAGGGTTGTCTTTAGCCAAGAGTAACGGTCATGGGCTCATGGACAAGCTGAATTACTTTAATACCCTTCGTATTTTGGTGTATTTAGATTGTTTCTAAATGTATTTGGTATTTCAATTGGTTTTTTATTAAGTCTTGTATCAATAAATTTATCAGTGTAGTTTGAAGAATGTTTTTGTCTTAAAGAGTTTTTTAATAGATGGAAGAAGAATGTTTTTTAATTAAAAGCATTTGAGTTTAGAAAAAATTGTCTTTTTGTATAAAGTTTTCCCCTAAAAATTTGCTGGTTATGGACATATAAGGACTTTTTATTGTATGTGGTATAGAAATGTCTTCGTCTGATTTATTTTAATATTGGGATTTTATAATTATTGAATTAAAATGCATTAAAGAGAAACTTATAAACCACACCATCACAATGCATTTTCTTACGGTTTGAAACATATGCAGTACAGTTTTACAGTTTAAAAGAATCTCCAAACCATTTATGCGATACGGGTTACGATTCAACCTTTAATCTAACCAAAACACACAACAAACACCACTAAGAGGTTGTTTAGTTGATTTTTCATTAAATTCTATATGATCAAAACTGTATGTAGGGGTTAATCTGTTTGTAAAAGTTGAAAAGATTTTTGTTTGAGAGAGTTTTTTTATAAATAAATTGAGCATGTTTTTTAACCAGAAGGAACATGTTTGGAAAAAACTTGACATTTTACATAAAATTTTCCTTTTAAACACCTAGTGAATAAGCTATTTTTATATAATTAAAACTATTACTAAATAATCATATATAACTGACTGAATAAATTACGAGTCTCGTTAAAATATGCTAAGAAAGGGTAGTGAATTTCCATATGAGAAATAAGGTGTAAATTTATAATTGGCATAATGGCATTTATTTGTGCGGTTTGAAATTAAAAAGAAAATAGAATTTAGGTGGGAATGGCATTTTGGTAATTAGGAGAAAGAAGAAGGGTAAGAGTAGGATTGACAGAGTCACATGGGCAGTCTCGAATAGAGAGAGAGATGGAAAACAGAAAGAATCGGGAGAAGACACGTGACTTAAGAGTTGGACACTGAACCCCATTCCATTCAACACGTCCACGCTCTTTACCGGCGCGTGTAACTCCTACCATAAAACCGGACCGGACCCATGGTCGGGTCAAGTTTCAACCTTTCAAAGGATTAAATGACCCCCTCCCTCTTCCATCATAATTAGGTATGACAACAGGACGGGTTTTGTCATCTCCGGTCCCGACCCTAGTTTTAAATAATAGCTTCCGGCCTCGATTTTCGACAGGTATAAGGATTAACATTTCGTCCCCGGTAAAACCCAGTCATACTCTATGAAAAAATATGTTAGTTTGAGCCTACCCGGCCTCGGTTTGAGTCTACCGGGAATCCCCGGCCCTGGGACCCGTTTTAGCGGGGAATCATCGTCCCCGTTTGGGTCGGATGAACCGGGTTCCCCACCGGGTCGGGACACATCACCATCCTTAATCGTAACGAAGGTGTCTAGTTTTTCTGGAAAATTGTTACTCAAATACAATTTTTAATCTTCTTAAGTCCCATCCAACGTGTCCCACCGCATTATTTTCATGGATCTGCCACTGAAGGGTTGTTTACCAAACGTTTGTTAGAAAAACGTTTATCAGGTGTCATTATCTTACCAGATGCGTATGATAAAGACAAAAAATCTTACACGATAAAAAAAATTATAACAAGAATTAAAAATCTTAAACAGATATTCCATTTTAATGAACGAGAATCGTAATTACAAACAAAATATAGAAAAGCATCACGAGAAAATATTCAAAATTATAATAAAATAATACCCAGGTGGGCCCTTGTTTGTAACGTGCATGTAGATTCTGCTTTTCATTTCTTTTCCTAATTATAACTCATTTATTTCATCATTCAATATTAATTTATGGTACATACTTTTTTCCTATTATCTTGACTGTAACATTAATAGCTTTATATATGTGAAAGTGATTGAAGGTATGTAAAAATTAAGATAGTTTAAAATAGATAAAAATTGCTACTTCTTATCGGCTGTCAATCGAAAAATGTTGAAAGTTGGTGTTTCTTTTATCTGTTAAATCAAAAAAACAAATTCATCAAGAAACACCATTGCAACTAGAAGTGTTCAAAAACCCGTTCAATCCAATCCAACCCAACACAAAATAACTCAACCCAATGTCTAATCGAGTTATAAAATTTTCAAATCGTAGGTATTGGGTTGAAATTGAGTTACTATTACTTGAACTCAATCTGACTTGATATCCTTGTATTTATTGGATTTAATATGATTGTTGAGTTTTCATTAATATATACATTAGAGTTAGACGATTACACTATCGCGTACCCTCTTTATATATACATATTTTGACTCTATTCTTTATCTATACTATATTATAAAGCATTTGACAAAAACTTTTAAAAACTATTTTTTATGCATAAAGTATTGTATATTGATACATATTACTTAAAATTCAAAATTACAATGCATAAGTACAACTTATTAAAACTCTATTTTTGAATTCGTATGATTAACTGCGAATAAACATCTCATTTTAAAATATAACAAATCTAAAATATAATTAGGATAATTATCGAGTTCTAATAAAATAATTAATTATTGTATTTATAAGAAAAATATATTATTAAACCAAATATAAGTTACTTCGTTATTGAACATAAATTAAATTATAATTATAATTTTTGAATTAAAAATTACACAAAAAATGAGGAATTTTAAATAGTTAATTTGATACTAATATCGATATATATTTTTGTCAAATTTTTATGATATATTTAAATTTATATTTATAAAAAAATAAAAATATCATTGTTTTTTTCAAAATCACGTAAGATCATGTTATAATATCGACTAAAATAAAGAATAAAATAAAATATTAAAATCAAGAGGTATCTCGCTGCATTGTGCGAGTACCCTTCTAGTCTCTATATAACTCATTCGTATATATGTTCAGTGACTCGAGAAAATTAATTGAACGTGACATACATAAAATTTGAAAGCATAGATAAATTGTATCAAATGTTTGATGATAAAAAAATAAATTATAGGTAGAGATATAACATATTCAAGGTTAGAAGACTATTTTAATGTATCAAAATATCAACCCAACCAACCTGTACAGTTTGAATTGGATTAAGTTAACATTTTTCAAATTACAAACATTAAATTGAATTATTCAAATGTCTTCAACTCGATCAACTTAACCATTAAGACCCTAACTGTAATAAAAACCCTTATTTTGGATTCATATGATAAAACATGTAAGTGAAGCATTGAGTAAGGTAGGTTGGTCCTAGGCTACAAGTGGGGATGGTTCTAAATGCAGTTTGGTTTTGACCACTTCTCTTTCACCTTTTTGGGGTTTAATGACCATCTCCTCCCTATCCAAAACTCCCAATAATTCTCATCCCTACCTTCCAACTTTTCTTTATTATTTCAATTCCTTCATATTTCGTAAATCCGATCGGTAACGTAGTAGGCTTATACATATGTATAAAGATTCGACTTTTATGTGGTAGAAAACCAATCTTTACGCATATGCGTAAGCTTTCTGCATAAGGATTTGTCTGTTCGGTGAAATTGGGTCCTGACATGACTATCAAGTGAAAAGAGTCAGGGTAGATTGGATGTATAACGAAATATCAAAGCTCAACAGAATCATACATACGAAAATTCATTATATAACGAAACATCAAAGGATTAAGACGAATCTTCGTGAGCATGTGCCAAACACAGTTTTCTTGAAACAGATTCTCCCACTCTAAATTGCAACTATATCCGAGGAATCGGGATACACTACTAGAAAACTGACTATAATTAGTGGTGGATTACATACCTACGTACAAACACGTAATTCAATGTCATTGTTGGTATTGGTCTTTAATAAGTTATAAAAAAAGTCTTATTTGGCTTTAACGGGTCTTAATTGAGCCCACTACACATTACATACCTATATGCATTTCATGTCTTCTTACAATCACGTAACAGGTCACCAATGATCATAAAAGGATCCATTGAACTTTAATGTATGTATTGGACTTTATTTGGATCTATTGGGCTCTATTTGGTCGTATTGGGCTTTACTTAGTTGTATTAGGCTTTAATGAATGTTAGTTGTGTTTTAATGTCAGTGTGGAGGTACATGACCTCTATATGTAGTCAGGTCGTGGTAAATATCTATCTACTTTAATGTTTATAATTGGGTAACTGTCTATCTAGTTTGGGTAGCTATTAATTATTGAACCACAAGATGACTATTCATCATAGTCTTCTCATTGTTCACTGATTTCTTCTCATTGTAACACAACTGGAATCGCATCTTGAAGCGCTATGTGGGAGCAATCATGACAGGGAAGATAGAGGATCAAGATGAAAGTGATACCAAAAGTGAAATTGATGTTGGTGAAAGTGGAAGTCGAGTTACTTAGAAATGAAAGGTTTCCAATTTATTTTGAAAAATGTATTTGTTGTGATTGTGTTTTATTCAAACTTTAAACAATTTATTTGTATTTGTGGTTGTGGTTGTGTTTTATTCATAAAATTAAATAGTCTAATTCTTTTTTTTTTAACTTAAAATTTTAAAATTAAATGAGTCAATCTAGGTTCAACCAATTTATCTAACAGCTTGGTTGAGAAAAACATAAACAGGCCAATTTGTTGTCACTCTATTTAGGTAACAGATTGGGTTGGGTTGGGTTAGGTTAAAAATATCAACCAATTTAATTAAATGAGTTAGATTGAGTTGAGATTTTCAACTTGTTTAATAAATGGGTTGAACTCGAACCTAACACAACCTGACCCAATGCCACCCCTAGATCCAATAGCAATTAGAGAAATTAATTAAAGTAACTATTTTTAGATGTTTGTTTCATTTCTTAATCAATTCTCTCATAAAATCACCAAAATATCACTAGGTCCGTAATTTATGGAGCAGTCAAAGTGTAAAAAAAATGTTTTTAAATCAGATCCGCAAGTGTAGGAACCAAATCTGTAAATTAGTTTAAACACCTCCGACCTATGTCTATTTTACACATTTGGTTCCTACACTTGCATACGTGGTTCAAAAACTTCCTTTTTTTTTACACTTTCACTCCTCTGTAAAATATGGACCTAGTGACATTTTAGTGATTTTAGACGACAAATAGCTAAGATATAAAACCGAAAATGATTATTTAAATTAACTAATATTATATATATATATATATATATATGTGGATTGTTATATACACTCTCTTAATAATCCTTGAGAATGCTATTATTTTATTTAAATGTGTTGCTACGGTGCGATGATACAAATATACTTTGGATACGACACTGTACGAGGCCATCAGGGTTGTGGCTGTTTAAGAATACCGAAATTTGAGGATCTGTTGAATACTAACAAAATTTAATACAGTATAGGTCTCATGTTCGCCCCCTACTTATCAGGGGGCAACCCCATTAGCCTCAGACAAAAATTATCGTATCATATTTATGTTCTTGAAGACGGGTTTCATTAGGTCGATTAGAGTTACTGGTGATCAACTTTTTTGTCAGAATATAAATGAATATATGACATCACATGTGTATATTTACTTGTCATTTTTTTCTATTTTTGATTTTCAATTAAATTTATTTTATGATATTTGTTTTGGAATAAAATTTTGGAATATTCGTTATCCACTAAAAGTTTATTTAAAACCTTCAATATTCAAATTTCATAAAAAGCTATCAAATATTTTGAAGTTGTAATCATGTTTAAAAGGAATGCAAATTATTTAATTTTTATATGAAAAATAATATTTTATTAATCTTGATGGGTATTTCAACTGGTAAGACGTTAAATTTGCCTTTTATAAGTCACTGGTTCATGTTCTGTATCGGAGGGTTTGTCTGACTGTTAATTTTAAACCCTATAAAATCTGTTGACGTATGTGTAAACTAACCTTGACATACTGGATTACCATTTTTCTTGTTTAAATTCAATTTATTAGTTGGACAAAATATATTAAAAGAGGGGAAAGGGGGCATAGAACGGAGTTAGAGCCTGTTTGTTAGCAACTTAATGGGACTCAGCTTATTTGGTTAACTATATATGACTGTTTGGTACTGGCTTAACGCTATAAAAGTGGCTTATTCAGTAAACTTGTAGGTAGAAGGTTGTTTCCAAACCTATGCCTCCTAATTAAAAAACCCACTCATTCCATCTATGAAAACCCTTCCAAATAAACCCTTCTCAATTCATAGTCTATATAGATAAATTAATCTATACAGACAAATTTATCCATACAGTGCTTAATGAAAAAACAACCAAAGAACCCTTTAGTCCTATGTAAGCAATTTTTTTGTTTGGGCTAAAAGAAAATATCAAATAAGGGGTGAAATTGGAAGGTTTTCTTTTAATAGACCCTTCAAAGTCAAGGGACTTGTTTTGCCAAAAACATAATCCGATTCGCGATATATTACGACAACTACTTTGCTTGACAAATTGGACACGATATCATGAATTTTACGCCAAATCTTTAACATATATACGTAATAACATCCTATCCACCCTTACCCGTCAAACTATTTTGAAATAAATAAAGTTATGAGAGAGAAAAAAAAAAAACCAATAATGGAAGCATGATGCATGAATATCTGGTTTTCTTTGGTTTCTGGTAAAATTCTAAACCAAATTTAGTAATCTTCATGTCATCAGAATCGTTTTTATGCATCTTATAATTTATAAATTCACAACAACGTGAAGCCTAAGAACGATTGTTTGACCTCAAAATTTAAACCTTCATTGACGTAACAGTCTGTTGATTTCTAATATGAAAATAGAGTATTGTAATTTATTATAACACCAAACACCACCACGCTAACAATTGTTTAGCGCAAGTTGGTTCAGTCTTGGATACTGAGTATCTGATCCGTCTGTTTTAATTTCTTAAAATGTTTGAAAAAACAAAAACTCAGTAACAACTTATAGTTTATAACAAAATTCATTTGTGGAAATGTGACTGGTTAAGGCTCAAGAGCAGAAATCTCATCTTCACTAAGTTCGAGTCTGGACGCTGTCAAAGCGCTTGTGGTCATAAAGATTCACCTACAACGACTCAAAACCACTAAAATCATTTGTGATAGCCCGAAAAATTAATCGAAACACTTAATCTAATAAGAATACCCATCGTTAAGAAATAGTCTAATTATTTAGGATATAGAAGATAAAAACTAAATCTACCAAATAAGGTTCGATTCACATGAGACCAATCTGTCTTTGCGAAACTACCAAATAACATTGAAACTTCACGACAAAACATTGTGAACGTATAAAAGCATCAAACGTTCGTAGCAAAAACAAAATGTAAAGGTGAAAGGTTCACCTTCATGTTACTTTCGTATTCAGATTCAATATCATTTTTATGATGTAATTGGTTTCACGAAAACAGTCTGATGTCATGTTATTTCAAGTCTTGCCAAACATGATAAAACAAATTGTAAGGGGGTGTTTGAGATTACTTATTTGAAATAATTTATGATTTTCTACAAAAACACTTATCAACTTATTACAAGTCAAAAAAGTTTAACTTCTTTAAAAACTGTTTATTACCGATATCACATAAGAATAAATCAATAACTTATTTTTACAAGCAATCTCAAACAACCTGCTAAGAATGAGGACATCGAAAGGAGGTTTTGGAACCTTTATTTGCAATGGCACCCCCTGTAATAACTCTGCAAAACCATGGGTACGGTGGAAATGGAGAAGGGGCGCAAACAAAAGTGGAGAGGTTAAGGGCAATTAGAGAAAAGACAGGTGATTTCTTCCCATTAAATTCTCTCTCAAACCCACTCTAAAAGTAAGCTGTCCGGTCGATTATCACTCCGATCAAAATTCTTGTAAGGTATGCTTTTCTTCAACCATTTGTCAAATTATATCCATTTCCCTTCATTTCTTATTCGTTAAATTTAATTTGAAGTTTTGAAATCGGTGAAAAAAACTTAAATTAATGTGGTTTGCGAGCATCGTCGTTGGTTTAGGGAATAGGGTTTTTCATCGAATTACTGTGTGCTAACGATTCTTTGATTTCCATGTGGTTCGATTTTAGGGCTTTTTGGATTGAAGGAATCGGATTTGTAACTTAATTTAAGCTCTGGAAGTTGTTGATGATAAAAAGGTATAAGTATTTCTATTTTATTGGATTTTGATTTTGATTTTGATTTCTGAAGTGAAATCATTGGGAACTTGATGTTTGTTAACTATTTTGGGTAAAATTTGGGTTAATTTTTCTGATTTAGATGGTTTTGTTCATTGAACTGGGAGATTGATGTATCAAAGTAAGAACATAAAAGAAAATTTGAATCAAAGAAATGAAGCTACACCTGGAAAATGTACCTTAATTAAGTGCTAATTGCAAGATTGAAAATTTTTAGGTTTTTTTTTTTTGGGGGCGGGGTTGGTCATTGTTTCGTGCGAAATTGGGGGCAATGCTTGATTCTTGTCGAATTCCTTTTCAATATAAGGTGATAAAAGGATTTTGTAGGGTTCTAATCTACATGCCAAGATTCATAGAAAACAAAAAAGATTCATTTATAAGAGGGTTTGTAGGGTTATACGTTATATGTTTTTCTTTTTTGTGTTGATCGGTTTGGCTTAAGTTCGTGTTTACGGCTATGTTTGGCAACCGGTAAGATAAACCAGCTGTTGGCTGATAAGCTAGCAGATAAACTAGCTATGTTTGGTAAGAGTTAGGGGTTGTGTGTGTGGTTGGTTTTTCATCGAGTCCTAAATAAATAAAGTTGACAGTGTGGATTAATCTGTTTGTATAGATTGGGAGGATTGCAGGTTTGGAAAAACATGGCTTTCTGCATAAAGCTCCCCCTAGAAGTTTACCAAATAAGCCACTTTTTATATCATTAAGCCACTACTAAAAAGTCATGTATAGTTGACCAAATAAGCTGTGAATCCCATTAAGCTCATTAAGCTGCTAACAAACAGGCCCTTAGCTGATGACAATGTCAAATAATCCAAAAAGACGTGTTGAAATTTGGCGTGTCATATACGAGAATTTGGTGTTTGGTTTACAACTTTCTTACCATGTTATCAAGTGCATTGTGCGTCATCTTAGTTGACCAAACTCGTGACCTTGTGAGTTGTGAGTCATACTTCGAGAATCATACGTCATGTAGCAGTGTTGAAGTCTTATGAGTTGACTGAAGGATTATGTTAGCACCGAAAGGGTGCATTTGACATTACTTTATGGATAGCGTGGTTATTAATTTAAATCGTTTCTTGGGTAGGAGCTAAAAAGTAGCGACGGAAGTAATACTCACATTCAATTGCTTGGCACGTAAACTTTATAGAAGATCTAGCACAAGAAACTTTGATTTCACATATATTTACTCGATACAATCTTTTCTTTCTCTTTTGGGGGGATCTGCTTTGATAAATTTAATGATCTTCGTATATTTTGTATGCGCTAATTTGGTATATAAACTTTTAAACCTAGTAACTTGGCATTCGTAGTTCTAATTTCCGGAAGGGAAATTGACAAAATAGCCAATCAACAAATAGGGTTCAACTTTTTAGCCATTTTCTGACCCCAATTCACTTTTTAGCCAATCCTTACGTAGAAGGCTTACGCATATGCGTAAGGATTGTTTTTCGGCAAAAAAAAAAAAAGAAACCTTACACATATGCGTAAGGATTCTTCTTCTTTTTTTGCCAAAAACCAATCCTAATCCTTACGCTTATGCGTAAGCCTTTTGCTTAAGAATTGGCTAAAAAGTGAATTTGGGTCAGAAAATGGCTAAAAATTGAAACCACCTATCAGCTTTGGCTATTTATGTAAATTTCCCTTTTCGGAAACACATGCTAATAAAAACTTTCACAATGCTCTTCGATTAATTATATTTTTTCAAATATGTCTTTACGAAGACTTTTTCTTTTCACTTGATCAGGAAGTTTTGGCTACCTATTATTCAACGTCATGGGACAACATTTGGAACCGCAACAAGTCCATCCTCACGCTGAACCTTGTATGGTATCATATGGTGGGGTAACATGTTATCCGCAGCCTTTTAACAGTCGCACGATAATACCACCTCCAGGAAACAGAACGGGTTTTGATCCTCGTTACCTGCCAGAGAATCACGGGTGGCTGCCGTATGTGATCACCCAATACAACGGTGAACATTGCAATACGTTCATGGTACCTTCCGGAGTTTTCCCTGTTCCAATTAATCAAGGGGTTCATGATCATTTACCCTTTTCAAACAATCATCAAATCTTTGAAAGGAACAGAAGTCTAGTTATGGAAGGACCTAATGATGCATTTAAGAGAAAGAACATTGAAGGGTTCCCTAGGAATTTTCCGGGTTTTTACCGGACACCTGGCTCGAGTTCTTCGGTTGCCACCTCCGAGGGGACAATGATGGATGCGACATCTTATGGGGCTCACAATGATATCCGGTTGGGCATGGAAGGTGGACTTAACCGAGGTGGCAGGAATAGAGCCACGGGTGTTATGGGGTTTGACCATGTGGGAGTGCATAACAATAACCGTTTGATTCATGGTGGTCAACCGACTCAAACAGTTCCTACTCCTCTGTTGGACCAGCATGGTGCTAATGGCGCTTTCCCATGGAATCGCGCTCATGGTGTACCCTACCTGCAAGGTATTGGCGAACTCTATTTTCTTTGTGTCTTATGTTTTTTTATTAAATTATCTTGAGTGGATTATTCTACTTGTTGATTTCTTTTTCATGATCAATTGGGTAACGGATTGGATGCTGAATTACTGATGAAAGAGTGATCGCATTCATATCCTCATCCGTTTATAGTGGATACAAATATGAATATATTCATTTTTGTTGGATACAAATTCAGATATTGTATGTATCTACGTGTTGCTTTATGTTTGATGGTCATTAGATGAATATTATAGTAATAGTGGTGATAAAGGAGACATCGTCTAATGAGCGATATCTATAATGTTTATGTCGTTTTAAAAAATATACTTAAAAAAAATACTCCCTCCGTCCCATAATAAAATGTCCACAATGAAAAAGAGGGTTTTAGAAATATATAATTATCACCTTTTAATTAACTAAATTACAATTTTACCCTTAATAATAGTGGGCTTGATGATTTTCTCTCTCTCACAATTAAGGGTAGAATTGGAAAGTAGACACTTATTTTGGACGGAGAATTTTAAATATCCGTCCTTATTTTTAAGTTATCAATTTTCTTTTTGAGTTGTTGTCAAAGAAGCATACATTTCCTTTTTGGTTAAGATTCTAATCCATATTTACCGTTTTGCTTGTTAGTAATCACTAAAAATATTGGTAAACTCGGCTTTGGTTCTCAAATCCTCCATTTTTGTTCTTATTGACGGGCATTTTTGATATTTGATTAATAGTCAAACATTCTAAATAAATATTTATTTTAGGAACCAGAAACCACCCTTTTTGTTAGTATTCACGATGAATAATACTCACAAAATAGGTGATTCCTAATTTCCTAAAATATTTAAGGTTCCTAAATGAACCTGCTTGTATGTGTGTGTGTATATATATATATATATATATATAGAGAGAGAGAGAGAGAGAGAGAGGGAGGTTCAAGGAAAACCCCTAAAAATTGACAAACTGAGGAACACCTTGGTAATGATTCATTTGGACGGTGTGACATGTGCATACGAGTTATCGGAGCTGTTTCTTGGTTTTTATGCAAATGTGCATATCGGATAAATTGCTTAGAAATTACTTGTATGCACATGTGTATACCGTCCTGATAAACGTTACCAAGGTGTTCCTTAGTTTTTCAATTTTTTGTGGTTTCCCCTGAACCTGATCCTATACACACACGAACCAATGTATATATGTAGATATAGATATATCCATTTACAACCTTGCTCTCTTGTTATTTCAGGATGTATCAATGGAGATGGTATGGAGGCTGCAAACATGGGGATTCATGGATATCAAGTTGCAACCATGAGTAGAAACTCCTCGGCTTATATGCATCCTCCTCCTATCACATCTCATCAAGGGTCCCACAATCTCTATCATCCGCCACCATTGCCACCTATGCCGCCACCGGTACAAGCCCAAAACATGGACGTCCATTTGCATCTAGCATCAACTTCACATAGGCATTCTATAAGCACCTCCACCGGAAATCCTTTTCAACACATGGTTGATCCGGGGCCTAGGTTTGTGGTTCCCACACCACCAAATGGCCTTAGAATATATGAAGCTCATCGACGAGAATTGATGATCGAGTCCACCGCAAGACATCGTAGCTTCCCCAATTTAAGAGTTCTTCCCGAAGATGTAATACTCTCTCTCTCTCTGTTAACACAAATTTGAAGTTCTCTTTTTTGTGTATATATATATATATATATATATATATATGTATATGGGGTTGATATATATAGGACCAAGTTCTGGGGAAAACCGCAAAAGAAATGCAAAATCAAGAGACACCCTGGTAAGTACATAACATGGACATGCATAAAAACAAAGGACCAACTTCAATTATTTGTATGTACATGTGCATACCGTCCAGATGAATAGTTACCACGGTGTTCCTCATATTTTCATTTTTTTGGGGGTTTTCCCCTGAACCACTCTCTCTCTCTCTCTCTCTCTCTCTATATATATATATATATATATATATATATATATATAGCTTGCCCTTCCAATCAATAACGTTCTTTTTTTCTTTTGGAGTTTGCATTTTTCAAGAACAATGGTTAGTTTGCAACGAAAAAACCCAAGTATTATTAGAATTAGGAGCAAAGTGCATCAAAATGCAACAAAGTTTGGTTTACTTTCTACTTAATGTAACAAATAATTGTTTTTTTTCTCAATGGATGTAATAAAGATTCAAAATTTCCTATTTTATACCCATTTCGACTCGTAATCTGTTGATCTTCTAACATCTGATGACGTAGATACCCACTTAGGAAATCATTACAATACAACAAAGTAGACTATAAACTTAGACATCCACGTCATTAAATGTTACAAGATTAGTAGGTTACAAGTCAAAATGGGTATAAAATAGAAAATTTTAACACTTCACTGATTGAGAAAAAAACATTTCTTTGTTACATTAAATAGAAATTAAGCCAAACTTTGTTGCATTTTTCCCTTTAGAATTATTATTTCGGTTTATCGAGTGTTGTTATTTTGGCCGACTCATGTGTGTTTGACATATGTAGGGAGTTGCAATCCTTGATATTTCCGATTACCATGAAGTAGGACACTTAGTTGATCATCACAACGATATGCGCTTGGATATAGACCACATGTCTTACGAGGCAAGTTGTAGAAAAATCACTTTTATTTAATAGGGACATGAATGAGCGAAAAATTAGGGGTACGGGTTCAATTAGTTACGAGTGTTTTCGTAACTCGAATTCTGTCCAAGCTTGAAAATACCTTAGAATGTTTAGTTGGGTTTTCAAAAAGGAAGACGAAAGAAAAGATGTCACTTTTACTTTTTTGTTCATTCTAAAAAATGTCGTTTTCAAATGTTCATTTGTACCGGTACTAGGGGTGTAAACGAGCCGAGCGACTCGAGTAGTAGGTTATTCTCTCGGCTAAAAAACGAGTAACTTTTTCAATGTAGGGCTTGAGCTCGAGTTATGAGCTCGATGATTGTTTATGGGCTCGAACTCACAATCGATTAACTTGTTTATTGGCTCGACGCTGATGATTTTTATATTTTTATTGTATGATATATTAACATATGACATATTTGGCTCGAAAAGTGTATGCTCGAATGGCTCGACTCGGAAAAGTCAATTGAGCTTTCAAATGAGCCGAGTCGAAAATTAGCGTTGTGAAGCTCGGCTCATTAAGTTTAACGAGTTCTATTTTGTGTTCGAGATCGACTCGAGCTCGAAAATTATTAAGCTCGAGCTAAAAAATTATTAAGCTCGAGCTCGTGGTCCCTATACTGTCTAGGTTTATGGTGTTTGTTTGATTTAGTTTGACCGGTACTAGTGGACCGGACCATTTATAAATGTCTATAAAGGTTATTTATTTGTTATATTTCATTTCTTGGTTTACTAGCCAGGGGTATTTACGGAAATAACCGCTCTACTTTTTGGGTAGAGGTTAGGTCTGTGTACATCTCACCTGTGGACCCACCTCCAGGTGGGATATGCGGGGCTCGTTTTGTTGGGATTTGATATGATTTATTAATTGTTTTACCATCATTGCGTAATTTCCCATTCTTTTTTTCTTTCTATTCAGGAGCTTCTTGCACTAGGGGAACAAATTGGAAATGTTGGCTCGGGCTTGTCGGAAACTTCTATTTCGGATCATCTGAAAACGAGAACTTTCAGGTCTTGTAATCCGGAAGATCCGTTGCCCGCTGATGAAGAACATAATTTCTGCGTAATTTGTCAGGTATTTGCCAACAAATCCTCATTTAATCGTATGTCTTTGCCACTTTAGTTAGTAAGCGTCAGCATATCACGATGGTCTGTTTTTTATCTTCTTTAAACATTTGTTTGCTGTCATAATCTCGAGGGTAGGTATTTTCTTGCGATAGAACTATGATTATCGCAAACGAGAAACAATACAATTTGCAAGTATGATTGATTTTGAATAAATTGTGAAAACGTAAATTGAAAAACGAAACCATTGTGATAGACACGTGTTGTTCAAAGTCGCTCGTTGTGATAGGGTCTAGGGGGTAGAGGGTAGAGATGATGTTTCCGTGAAGACTCCCGTGTCAATTAGTAACGTACGATTTAGGGTCGTATCTTCCTTTCTTTTCAAATTTCACATCTTCTAATTGGGGACTCGGATAATGACCAAGACGTATAGGACGTAAGCGTCTTTAGGATGCGTTTTGTACGCGGGACTGGACAAAACAAGATCTTGTGTCCCATGTTTGGCGCGACATTAGACTGGAACATGATAATACCGAGTGTTTTGTCCCATCAAAATAGGTGGAACAAGAATAGAGAGATGAGACAAGATTGGTGAATTACTAAACTACCCTTGTTAGTTTACCCTTTTTGTCCCAACAAAATAGGTGGAGCAAAAATTTGGGAGATGAGATAAGATTGATAAATTACTA